GATACTTTTATTTTTCGTCATATAATTTTGTACACATAGGAGGAATGGGCTCAACCACGTCTGGAACTCAGTGCCCTTACCCCGTGGAGACTGAGACGGCAGTTGTCCAAAAGAATGGGGGAAGGCGACCAAAGATGGCAAGGGCATCGGGCACGGGACAAGACATGCACCGTCACAGCAGACGCATGCTTCCACATGTGCTCATGGCGGGCACCCCGTGCACTGCAGGTCTAGCCCACCGGGGGCTGCTGCCAGGGGGTTCCCAGCCGGGCCAGATGCCAGTCCCAAGTCACCCCTAGCCCAGGTCCAAACAGCTGCAGAGCCGTCTGCACCAGCCCCGTCCCCTTCCCCTCCCCACTTCCGCCCGGCACCCTGCCTTTACCGTCCCAGCATCCCTGGGCTTTCCTTCCGCCAGGGGTCACGGGGTCAGCGTAAAGCAATGATGAGCCTGTTTAAAATCCTGCCCCAAGCCGGGCGCGGTGGCTCTCACCTGTCATCCCAGCACTCTGGGAGGCCTAGGCAGGAGGATTGCTCGAGGTCAGGAGTTTGAAACCAGCCTGAGCAAGAGTGAGACCCCGTCTCTACTATAAATAGAAAGAAATTAATTGGCCAACAAAAAATATATAGAGAAAAAATTAGCCGGGCACAGTGGCGCGTGCCTGTATTCCCAGCTACTCGGGAGGCCGAGGCAGGAGGATTGCCTGAGCTGAGGAGTTCAAGACCAACCTGAGCAAGAGCGAGACCCCGTCTCTACTATAAATAGAAAAAAATTAATTGGCCAACTAAAAATATATATAGAAAAAATTACCCGGGCATGGTGGCAAATGCCTGTAGTCCCAGCTACTCAGGAGGCCAAGGCAGGAGGATCGTTTGAGCTTAGGAGTTCGAGACCAGCCTGAGCAAGAGCGAGACCCCAATCTATACTAAAAATAGAAAGAAGTTAATTGACCAACTAATATATATATAGAAAAAATTACCCGGGCTAATGGTGGCGCATGCCTGTAGTCCCAGCTACTTGGGAGGCTGAGGCAGGAGGATCGCTTGAGCCCAGGAGTCTGAGGTTGCTGTGAGCGAGGCTGACACCACGGCACTCACTCTAGCCCTGGCAACAGAGCGAGACTCTGTCTCAAAAACCAAAAAACTCCTGCCTGCGCGCTCCCAGCCACACGGCCGAGACACCCGGGGTGGGTCAAGGGACCGACCATAGCTGCTGACCTGAACTTCAGGAGCAGGACTCGGGTGTCCCGGACGTGGGCCGGGACAGAGGCCTGCAGGGACGCTGGGGAAACCGAGCTCCCGCGGGGCCTCATAGGGCAGGGTCTGGGCGACCCCCGAGCTTCCTGCAAGGAGCCCACTGCGCGCTTGGGCGGACAGGAGCAAAGCGGCAGGGGGTCACATAGAGGCTGTGGCGGGGATGACAGGGCAGGGGGTGGGGCAGGAGGGCTCAGCGGGGGAAGGGAGGCACATTCCCGCAAGAGCTTTTGGGGCTTGCTCTCCCCGGGGCACGTCACGGATATAAACACGGGGAGATAGGATGGTTCCGGAAGGTTCCACGGACGTCGAGGATGAGGCTGGGCCTGTCTGCGTGTCACTCCGAGTGATGGCCTGAACCGGCGTTCCTTTTATCTTCCCATCTTGGATAGTGTGTGGCCCGATAAAGGGAATACATTTGTAAGATAAACAGCCTGCTTTGCAGATTTAAGAGTCTAATTTTCGCTTTACACAGAAACGGGTTTTGTTTTCCTGGAGGGGCCCCCCCGAGGCCCCGGCCACTGGCTCTCCGACCCATCCTGCTGCAAAAACAAACTCCGAACGGGTGGCGGCGAGGAGCAAGGGCGGTTGCGGGTGGTCCCGGGAAGCGTCCGGAAGGGGCTGGCAGCCCGGAGAGGCGGTGGAGGGTGGAGGGTGGGGGGCGCCCCGGCCCTACACTCAGGGAACCGAGAGCAGGCGTGTGGGGCCCGGCTCACGCCCGGACGCACGTCGGCAAGTGCGCGGGGGCCGGATGCGGCCCGGCATGGGCGGGAACCCCGGAGTCTCATCCGGGGAGGAGGGTGGGGCCGCTCCCCGATTCCTTCTCTAGCCAGAGTGTGAGAACGTCCCCGTGCACCCCCTGCAAACGGCAGGACCCAGCCCCGCAGCCTCACCTGGGACCCCGCCCGGTCAGCCAGTGCGGACACCTGTCCCAGGCACAGGTGCGGACAGGCCACCCCAGGACCCTGGTGGCAGGAAGAGACAGGCATGACACAAAAATGGCATCTATGGTCCTTTGCCAGGCTGTCTGTGGATTGCTTTGAGGTTCTGTTTTTTTTGTTGTTGTTGTTTTTTTAATGTTGTCAACTTTCTTTTCCTCCGACCTACAGGGTATTCCGTCTGGACCGATGGACGAGTTCTCTAAGTGTGCTTGGGGAGGCTGAAGCTGGGGGTGTGCACGGGGTCAGGCTCAAACCGGCCACCTGGTGCTCCGTGCTCATCTGCAAGAGGAGGGACAGTTCTGCCGGGTCCTTCCTAGGTTCTGAGCCGGCCCTGGGGGCAGGGCGTCGGCTGCAGGCAGGACAGCGGCTTCCTGCCTAACACACCTCAGCCTGGGTGCGTGCCGGGCCAAATTGTGGCCCAGATGGCAAACTGGTATTAACTGAGCAGCACCTAAGTGGACACATAGGTACTACAGCAATAGGGTATTGGGCAGGGGGAGAGGGGGGAGTGCGGCAGGTACATACACACATAATGAGTGAGATGCGCACCATCTGGGGGATGGTCACGCTGGAAACTCAGACTTGTGGGG